CTCTCCTGACCGACTTCACGCACTAAAATAATTCTAGTCATGCAAATGAAGTTTAATGTTGTTGTACGACACGCACCTTTCTAGCTCCACCCTTCCCCTGACACTCCTTCACCTGCTACGGGGGCACTCAACGAGAATATAGTTCCAAACCACTTAAAAATAGCATTGTTAAACGTATTTAGTATTTAAACGATAGATACAGGCATATTTTTATCCCCTAAAAATTTTTCATCTGATCGGATTTCCTAGCTTAAGTCTAATGATCTGAAAATTATAGGGATCAAAATTTGCCTCTTCGAAAGTTTCAGCCAGAAAAAAGGCTCCCAAAAATTCTAGCAGACCTTTTTAGGATAAAAATCCGTTAAAAATAGCAATTATACCATTTTTTGGATGTTCTAAAATCCTAGGAGAGGCAGGCAAGCAAGAAATTTTATAACAAATGTTCCGAAAATTCTAGATCTCAAATCTCCTTCCGAACAGATATTTTCCGAAAATTGACGTTGGGTGCCCCTGCTGCTACTCCGTTTCTGTCCAACCACCACAGTTATCTGACCGATGAACGGTCATCTCGCCACCAAGAGTTCGACTCGCTGCCAACAAACTCGCCACCAATTGTGTAGCTTGCGTTGAAGATTGGGAGCAAGTTCAAGTACTCCGAGCATAACAATCCAGTGGTCGATAAGGGTTATCGTCTGAGATCTCGTCTAATCCTAGGTGAGTAGATTGTGTCTTGGTGGCGAGTCTTCTTCTTGGTGCCGAGGTTTGGTGGCGAGGTGACCGGATATCATCTGACCAGCTTCATTGTTTTCAGGGAAAAAATATGGACAAAAGAACTTTTTTCGCTTTTGTGATGGTATGGTTCATTGTCATGGTGATAGTTGCTGACAACAGAGCAAAGGCGCGTTGTGATATCGGCATAGGTAGAAAGAGATTTGCTTCAAGATGTAAGAAGGACGAAAGAACAAGAAAAACAACAGAGTTTAAAGAAAAGTTAAGAAATCTACAAAATGCAAGGTAATTGTTTCCTCGTCAATTGAGCATTTTCTCTTTATTGGACACCAAAAGTTGGTCCATGTAGCTCTTCGATCATTTTCTGGCAAATGTGGCCACCCATCATAGATGAAAACCTAGTTGTTCACAAAACCAGTGAAAATTTTGCGCCCATAGAACAGTGCAATTTTTCGCGAGCGAGGCCTTGCAGCAAACAAAAATGCTTTTTTGCATTTGAACCATATTTTTTGCCATTTCGGTCTGTAAAATGACCTAAAAAAGGGTTACAGAAGGCGCTTATGGCTGTGAAGAAGTCGAGAAAATTGTCATGTTTGGTGATCGATTCATATTTTAAATAACAGTCGCGAATCCAGGCGAGGAGCCCGGGAGACCGGTCCCCCCCTTATCTAAGGCTCTGGATGACCGCCCCCCTTATCTCAAGGTATGGATCCGGCACTGAATAATATACATTTCTAAAATAGGTATATAAAAGGGTTACTATTTGTGAATGAAAGGTATACGAAAGGAGTACCTTTTCTGTCAAAAATCGTATATGAAAGGTTAAGGGGTTGGACCTCGGGGCGGAGCCTCCTCGTATAAACCTTTGTTGAGTACCCTCCCCCACTCCCTCCGGGTGGGACAAACGAAACCACCTAAAGAAAATAAAACATTTTTAAAGAAAGAGAGCAACCTGGTGCAAGGAGTCGAATAGTACGGTGCGGATTTTTACGCTGTATACAACTCTGTCTAAGATGAACACTTTTGGGACAGTCACTTAGTTGGCCTGTTCCAGGCAACCTCGTCCCCAGGGCGCTTTTCCCTGGCTTTGGAGGTGGCGCAGGGAAAAGCGCCCTGGGGACGAGGTTGTGTTCCAGGCTCTCAGATAGTGTACGAGACGCGAAAGTGAAAGGTTAGCGAAAAGTTGGTGGGGCGGGAAAAAGAAAAAAGGAAGATGTCCGTCTTATAGAGACTGGGAAAGTCAAATAAAGGGAATAAAAAGGCAGGGACCAACTCTAGGTGTCCTTTTTACAGAGGTGTCCGTCTTATAGAGGTGTCCGTTAAGGGAAAATCTACTCTACCTAAAGCGACTATCTAATCCTAATTTTACTTTGCAGAAATCAAGAATTTGAGGAACGTGATCTTGGTGACTTCTTCAATGATGATCAAACAACCAATATGTAATGTAACGTAATCGGTATCACAGTTAAATTAGTAAAATTACAGCTCATCCGATGCTTCTTACAGCAATTGTCATTTGTGTAGAGGCAGTAATGCTTCAATTGCTTGGACGTGAATGGCTTTTACATCCCCAGATAAAAGAACCTCTTCTGTGATATATTGTTAAGGTAAAATTTTAGGAAATTTAAAAGTAAATTCAATTAAAATTATTTATAAAACCAAACGGTTGTGAAAATGATGTTATTGATTTGCACATTACCTGAATTCACTATTTTCACCGAGACCATAATGCACCTTGCCCCCAAATTTTTACATCACCATGGTTTCCTACTTCTCCTGGGTATTACAGTCGTCCCAATTTTTTTCTCTTTCTTCGGGGGTGGGGAGGGGGGGGGGGAACAAGGTGCATTATGGTCTCGTTGAAAATGGTCAATGGTCGAATTATATCTTTAAACATCCCTCTACTGAACAACAAAATAGCTACTTTTTGCATTTTACCTATTTTGAACAGGATGCGGGGAAAATTCTAAGTAGTTTTAAGCCTGGGTAAATGGCTTATATAAGCCAAAACTGCTTTGTCACTTACAGTTTTAACAAAGCGTGATGGACCTGATCACGTCTCTCTTTTGATGAAAATGTGCGCGCAAAGGAAGGCGGGAAGGAGACAACGTCTGTACCCTTCCCATGGTCCCTTGCGGTTCATCACCAGTCACTCGTTTCGCGCTCGCCTCTGCCATGCGAAAAACGAAGCGCCTGAGGAGGAGGCTGATTTGATGCGCTGTCGACAGCATAAAGATATTATTAGAATATTAGTATTAGGATATTCTGACTCTATGAAATATGCACTTGGAATGCTGTCATTTGTCCTCAAAAAAAATTTGATGACAATAAGACATTAATCTAGGCTTTTGCTATTCCTGGTTGTTCTCAATCAGAAATGCTCATAAATTTACTCATGTAAAGTAAATTCACCACCAGTCAGCCAGTTTCCTTACTTTTCAATTTGGAGACTTTCATTGTCAAGTCAAAGTCAGCAAAACTCTATGTTTAGTAGACTGTTTACAGTCGCATACTTTTCCCGTAAGATCTCAGCGGTTATAGCGGCCATCTTGGTTTCAAAATGTACTGAGGGGGAGGGCGTCAGGGGTTGATACCGGTGGGGAAGGGAGGCCTCGTTCCCTAAGTAGATTTGATACTTAGGCCCCCAAGGGGAGACTCCTCACATTTGAAACCAATATGGCGGCCAGTAAGGGTGGGTGCTCGATCCCGACGATCTTACAGAAAAATAAGGGACTGAATCTATTACCATTTTATTTTTATTTTCTTTTTTTTACATTTTCTCTTTTCTCAGTCTTCTCGTCTTAAGGATTAGTCTACTGTTTTATAATTTGGCATGGCCCAGTCCTGAAGCCTCATTTTCCCGCGCTGCCAGGTTGTCTAAGCGTTTCGGGTCACGTGGTCCGAGCGAGTTGTCGTTCGTCCCGGATACGTTACCGAAATGCATTGGCCGAGAAGACTTAGGAAGCCACAGTGCGGGGACTACAATGAAAAACCTAACGAAAGTATTACCCACCAACTATATTTTCAGAACACACTTCTGACTCAGGTCTTTAACGACTTTAACCACTTGAGCGATGAGTACGGTGGTTATATATCATTAATGGGATGTCTTTTTTTTCCTCGGAAGAACCGTTTACGGATAAGGAAACCGAATAGACTCATATCCTCTAGTTTGCGAGCAAGCTCTCCTATTTGGGCGAGTGAAGCGAGTCTCGCGAGAACGTGTGAGCGAGTTGCCTGCGTGAGCGAGCGGCGAAGCCGCGAGGGGCAGAGGAAAGGCCCTCGGCCCCTCGCTCCCGTGTTCTCGCGAGGCTCACTTTGCTAGCCCAAATTGGAGAGCTTGCTCGCAGGCTACATATCCTCCTGGCTCATCCTAGTTATCTTCCACGCTTTCCACTTTTCCATCCAACCCTTCGCGCCTCTACGTACGGAGAGGTGAGAGACCTTTCGTTACAAGTCAGCGCTTGAAAGTATTGACCAGACCATCTAGTTTATCCTTCCCGGGTCGATTGCTTCTAAAGCAAAAGGAGCTACAGTCTTTGACATTCGCCATTTGCACATCTCCCATAATTAAACTTATTAATGAAACGATAGGGACATTTGGTAGGAAAATTTGCATATAAATAACGCATGCCAACTTAAAAAGGTGAAGTTCTTCACTGCTGACAATTTCATTTAGGGAAGGTTTAAATCCTCAATCAGCAGAGTCTACTTTATCCTGCAATGAATATTCGACCGTCTTCTCGCCAAAATTTCGAAGTGGTCGCATTTCAAGTTCAGTTGACGTGATATGGTGATTGATTGCTACTTGTAATGGCTTTGAAGTATTTAGTTTCTTTGTCATGCAATCTACGTTTAGTTTACCCGCGTTTAGAAATCCTGGCAGCTCGGCAACAACATGGAAAGGTAAAATGTCTTGTGTATGCCCTAAAATCATTCTGTAGGATTTTATTTAAGAAATTTATCACTAACATTTTCGAAATAATACATCTTTTATTGAAAAATGAGAATACATATTTCGATGGCATTTAATTAATTACTTCATAAGAATACGTTCAAGCGATATTACATGAAATTTTGGGAAATTTGGTTTATTAGCAACAAGAAAGTTCCGTCCACCATGCTCATATTAGCAGTGATCACCAAACTTTTCAGATGCATTGGAAGCTCAGAAAGTATCTGCGAAGAGAATGTCGACATAAAATAAATTACATTAAATAAACAGTGTTTTAAAAGCGCAGAAGCCAGTTATGGTGGACATATGGAATTCATTAGTCCGCCTGACCATTCAAAAGAAAGCCACTGAGAAGTACTTTCCTGTGGTACTGTTTATTATAATGTACAAGGTGTTTCTCACATTTGAGTCTGTGGATGAAATCCCAAGTATGACCATTCAAATGAAATCTACTGAGCTGAGTACTTTCCTGTGGTACTGATACTGTATAAGGTGGCTTTAACTTTTGAGTTTGTGAATGAAATCCTAAAGTGTGACCATTTGTATGAAAGCTACTGAGCCGTAACTTTTTGTCTTGTTGCTGTATTATCATGCTGTAAAAGACAGACAGACAGACAGACAGACCGACTAAGCCAGACTAAGACAGACTTAGCTGATCGAAACCCCTCAAAGTAAATAGTTTATTTGAAAATTATAGACCAAATTCTCTAGCACTCAACGAAAACAATACAAACCTTACCTCCCATCTCAGATTAAATGTTAAAGACGCTTTATCATGCCATCAATTATTGTTGTTAATTAACACAAACCGAAAACTAAACTTCTACGCCTCTTTCAAAAAAGATATCAGACAAGAATTCCCAAGATAAAATTGCCATTTGATAAATTTCGTCTAGGGAATCATACTTTGCGTATTGAAACGGGCCGACACTCATTGCCAAAGACCGCTATGCACCTAAGAATCTGCACTTTCTGTAACTGGGGTGAAACTGAAGATGAAAAACATGTTCTGTTTTCCTGCAGTCTTTATAATTATAGAGAGTTTAAGCTTCACGTATTCGGCAGACGGCTAGTCATCTCCTAGTTGAGAATTTCTCACAATAGAAAATGAGCAGATAAAAACAGTTCAAAACAATTTGTATGGACAAAAACGTAAACATTGCCTGAAACTACTAATTTATGTGTTGATATAATGAACAGTAAAAGGCAAGTAAAGAGGACACTTGGTCACGTGGTGCTAATTGTTGGTTTTCACATGACGTCACTAAAATTCAAACTACAAAACTATCGATCCTAGTGAGATTTTACTTTCATGGTGTATTAAAGCAGCTGAAAACTAGTTTTCAAACAAATTTTCCCTTCAAAAGGGTTCTTGGTTTTGTAATAGAGTACGCTTGAATTTCTAAGCTTTTGCGTGACACAGCATTTACATGACGGCCGAGAGAGCTGTCATTTAGGTTAAAAAAGTGACTTTTTTCGAGGAATTTTGCTATCTAAACAGTTAAAGTGTTAGAAAAAGTATTACTTTAATGTTTATGAGTTCCTCTAGGAGTAAATTCGCGCTTTTCTAGCAAAACTCGGTAACAGATGTTTCTTTTGGTTTCCGTCCGCCATGTTGGAGCTCATCCGGATGAGCTCTAGCATGGCGTCTCCATACAAAGCTCTATAAATTTGGGTAAAACGTTTCCTCAGATATCTCGTATACGAATTATTCCTTCGACCCAAATCTTGGCGAGGGTCTTTGTATATTTACCTCCTTTCGTTTCCCAGATTCTGGACTTTATCTGTCGAATGGTTTTGATTTTTATTTTGATCTATTTTGGATATCGTGACACTGAACACCAGCAATTGACGCAAACGTGATGCTTTATCTTTATACTAGATTAATTTCAAAAAATCCTTTTTTCAAAGATTTCAATCTATCCTCAAAAAAGTATCCCTTTTTAATAATATTGATCCCTTTGTATGCAGACTTATTTCTCCTTTTATTTTTCAATTGATGAAAATTAGACATGAAACGTCTTTTCGAACAAAATGATATACATTTATGATCTTTTATAATCAATCTCTTTCTTTAAACCTCTAGCCCTAGTATTATTGTTAAGGTAATGGCTTGTAAATCATTGGAAATACCTAAATAACCTGCTATTGTTGTTTGTCGTTAAAAGGTGAGTCTAATTTTCCAATCTGTGGATGAAGTGCTAGAATTGTTGCGTACCCTGTTGAAGACTCGAGAAACTGAATCAGACCCTGAATCAGAGGCACATATCCATTAAGGGGAAATGAGGGATTGCCCCCCCAGTTTTTTTTACAAGAGGACATCTATCAAATAGCCTGCGAAAACAGACCTTTCGCGAAACTTCCCAAGCGGCTAGGAGCGAGTAGAGATGGCTGTATTCGCAGCCTTTTGATTTGTAAGACAGGAAAAAAAAATGAACACTAACCAACTCGTTTATTTTCCACAGCTACCATAGCGACATTGCCACCCCTGTCGTTTAGAATGTACTTGTGAAAATCTTGCTGTATATTCGTCACCGAGTATCTCCTTTTTCTGTTCGACATCATTTTGATCTCGCGCTAAACTAAAAGAAAAATATCTCTCACATTTCTTTTCGCGGTTGAGACTTATATACCAATACCAAGTTGCGTTTACCAGTTCTATACCGCAAATCCTCTATTAAGTCCCCCGGTCGGGGGCTTATTAGTCTTAAGCCCATTTTAGGGGAGGATTAATAGGGACGGGGGGCTTATTTGAGAGGGGGATTAGTTTATGTAGAAAAGACGATGGTATAAGTTCTCGATAAAGAACTAGAATACAAAGTGGAGAAGCCTAAGAACATGAAGGTTGGAGGTCATGTAGCCGAGGATCAGAATCAGATCCGAACTTCCAGTCGGTAAATAAACCATCCCGGATTAGTCCACACGAAGTTTTACAGTCATAATTGATAAATACAGTCTCTCATTTAATAGTGAAGAATAATTAGGGGAGGGGAGGGGAGGTGGGGGGCGGCTTATTAACTTTCTTCCCCTGAAAAGGGGGGCTTATTAGAAGGAGGGGGCTTATTTGAGAGGGGGAGGGGCTTCATAAAGGATTTATACTGTATATCGTTGTTTACTTGATCCAGGAAAAGGCTAAGGACTCGTTTTCTGGAGAAAACATGTCACGTGTAGAAGGGTCACCCTCCCAGTCGAGTCATCTTCGGCCAGCGTTTACATGAGCCAAACGACAACGGCAAATTCGATGCCAAAATTTTCTCAATTTTCACGAATCACCAGTCTGAAGAAATAACCTCATGCAGTGTCAACGAGGCCTTGATACAGTGCCGGGAACCTCGATATAACGAAGCAAGGGACTGGCAAAAGTTGTTCGCAAAAACGAGGTTTCGATATATCGAGGTTCTTTTCCATATACTTTACTATTACTGGGGCAACGAAAATCGTTCGTTATACCGTAGACTACGAGTAGTCCCTCATTTTCTCTCAGGGATAGCAGAGCGAGCCAGACGCGAGCGCGCGTGTGTCGCCTTTCTCGCGTGCGGTGATTGTCACGCGCGCTTGCGTCTCGCTCGCTCTACTGTCAGTGAGGCAAAATGAGGGTCTACTCGTAGTCTACTTACACCGAGGATTTCGATATAAAGAGGTTTGTTATAATGTATCGAGGTTCCACTGTAGTGTGTGTTTTTTTTGCTTACAGGTCGCGGATGGGTCTATAACTGGGAGGACTCATAAATGGTTGAAATAAGCAAGTGAATGAGCTTACAGGGTGATATCCTGCGGGGAGGGGAGTGTTGAAGGGACAGGGTTAAGGGTGGGGGAGAGGGTAGGGGAAGTGGCAGAACCACAACGGTCAGGAACGGACGCCAGTTCAGAGCTGAACAATGTGATAGGTTCTGTCCTATTTCCAATTTAAATGGTACAGTTCGGTTAAAAATAGTAAATTTAAAATAGACAGTACCTTCTGTAACTCGGATTCTCTACATCAGTACTCTTTTTACTGTATACGTCTCTCAGCATAGGCCTACTTAGCAACCTCTCCTGCAGAAGACCAGCCTCACTTGCCTGAAGGAAGAAGAACAAGGAGACCAAGACGAAAAATGCTCTGATATACGAGCACATTTCTTCCGTTCGAAGAATAATCTGATTCGACCTGAAACGACATAAATTTTGAAACACTAAAATAACTTTGTTGTACAATGAGTAGAAAACTCTCACCTTTGTGGCATGGTTACATTCTTAAAAAAAGTCCGGACAAATTTTGTTTTGCTAAGTCAAGCCCTTCTCCTCGAAGAAAATAATGCTCTTTAAAAATCCAACCTTTCTTGACAAAAGTAATCCTTGTAAAAATTCTCGGTTTTAAAGTGAGGATCAGAATAGGTTAAACATACCGGCAAATACTTTGCTAAGCAAAATCTCAGTCGTCTAGATGACTGTATTGAAATTACCTTGCTTTAGCAGCGAGAAGTCCAATATCTTTAAGGTTACTTCCCCGTCTTCTAATCCCTCTCTTTTATATAATGGTTTTAGGATCAGTTATAGTTTCGCGTCGGCGATATTTTCAGTTCCGGCCTGCCAACAATAGCAATCAATTTGTCTTTTCTAAGGTTCCGCACAGAAATGAAGACAAAAACCTAATTTCAGTTTTCATTAACTTTGAAAAGGCAAATATTATCCCGAAACGGTTTGTGTCGTTGTTATGACTGGTAAAAAGTAATTGAGCACATGACATTGCAATCTTTATTTCCGGCTTAGGTGGGATGATAATGTACTGATGGGGGAACATTTAGCGCTCGCTGGCAACTTCTGTAAGTTTTACAAATAACGCAAATCGTTACTCGAATAAATCGCCTATCTAGCTTTGTGTTTTTGTAAGTTGCTGTAACCCTCGTTTTCGTCAAGTTTTACCTTAACGCAGAAACTTGAATAAAGTCAACATGCACCTTTCGAAGGCTCTATGCTTTAAGGCCCATGACATTTTTAAAGAGTGACGCTCAAATGAGGTCTCAAACGCAAAACGAGTTGAACATTTTCTATCCCAAGGGTGGCTTCAAACCGAAAGCTAACAAATCGTAAAGTTCTTTTTGGTGTAAAACGTGAATAAAATAAACCACAGGGTAGTTTTAATTAACCCATTTTCCATTTTTTTCTCGTGCTTTGAGTTCAGTTATAACTTTAGAGAAGCTAACCTATAAGTATGGGCGGTAAAAATTTACGGGAATCTTTATTCTGAAACATTTAAATTTGGCAAAAAGCTGGTGTTGGTATTTAGTTGGCTCTCACTTTATTTCCCTCATCAGTTCCATGAAGCCAAAATTTACTATTCCTCAAGACAAAAACAATGTTTATCATTCCCGCGTTCTTTCTTTACAAGTGACTGAGAGAAAAACATGTAAAAATTAAAGCTTTTCTAGCTCATCCTGAAGATCGCATTTAAATAATTTCACTAAACGAGGGGCATTTCTTGTCGATGGAAGTGTACAGTCTTGTTCTGGAAAACTACTTCTATTTCATAGTAAAACATTGTTACACTTTTCCGCTCTGCTATTGCTTTCTTTATCAAAAATCAAGTATCCTACTCAAAGTCAATTTTGTAAGCTTCCTTATTTATAAGACACAGCACCTTGTCATCACTTTTTAACTTGAGAAATTATTTTTCAACATTATATTCTTGAGTAGTTCTTTTTGAGCACGCCAACGCTGGAAAAAAGTTATTAACTAACGCGCGAAACAGGTGAAACACTGACCCGAGAGCTATCTAACAAGAGCTAGTGGGTTCAATTCTCTAAAATACACATCTTTTCGTCCTTCCGTTAATTTAACAATTACCTTATTGCTTTATGGACTTAATAAACACCTTTTCCGGCTTTACTGTACTGACTCATGTCAATAAAAGAATTCTGAGCGGAGAGAGCTTCCAGAATAATTTATCTGCTAGGGCAGGAAATAAAAAAAATGTTTTTTTTTGTTGGTATAGTCAATGGAATTAGGATTATTGTTAATTTAATAAGGGCGTGGTTAACACAGAAAAAAAAGAAAACTTAAAACTAGCTCTCTCTTTGCTACAAAAGTTGATTTTGAAGAATTTGTTCAGCCGGTTTTTTATTTGACTTTCTAAAAGCCTAGTTCTTTTCCGTTCGATAGAATCGTTGATCACAGATCCTCGCAATTGAGTAAATACGATTGTTGAGTTTCAAGAGCACAGCTGCCGGTAGCTGTATATATATCCTCCCTTTTTAAGCGTTACAGTGGAAAACAATTGAGCTGAGCTTTCCATAAAGGCGGATTATATTTGAGTCACTTAAATGGCATTACAAAAAACCTTAAACAGAGCGAGATATGTAAGTCAAGCTATAAAATAACATTTTTTACAAGAAGTTATATTTTCACCATTACTGAACCGAAAAAAAAATTATTTGTCAAAAATTTTTTTCCGATTTCACGTGCAGGATCAGGCTCCGTTATTTTCGACGAAATTTACTCTTTTGAAGAAATTAAAGCATTCAGGTAGTTTTTAACCGCTTTAGTCAACTGTAGGCAATGCTTATACTGTCAAATTTCCGTTTTATTTGAAGCATTCCGTGTTACTTGGTTGCCATAGTCATTTATTTGTTGTTGATTTAGGGCGCTGATAACTTCTTGAAGGTGTATTCAGTGGCTGGAAGTATAAAGGATTCGGTAAATTGTTGCGTGGCTTTACCCGTAAAACTTAGTCCTAAGTGAAAAACCACACGGACGCTGATGTCAGTTTTGGATCACGAAGCTAGACTAAAAATAGAGCTATGGCAGAAGTAAGTCACATGTGTATAAGAATTGAGTGTATCTCGATCAGGACAACACCATTTCAAAAAAAGGTTTGCAATTAAATACGTGCGACTAAGGCTAGGCTACCAAGCACCCAAGCACTAGGAGTATCACTAAGGCCTAGTACAAACGTCGAACTTTTCACGAGACGAACCAAACTTAATAAGTTAATTTCATGAAATGGTTCGACGTCTGGCTCATTTAAGTTTGTCTGAATGCGTATGGATCATCTAACAAGCTCTATCATGTTCTATCAGCTTCAGAAGGATGGAAAGTGTGAAGATCTTCTCCATGAAAAGTTCGACGTTTGGGCTAGGCCTACTTGTAACTTGCTTGTTTCGAGTAACTTGGATGAATGTTAGAATCAATCAGAAGCCGTCTAATATTGATTTTCGTTTTTTTTCTATGCTTAATGAAGAGCGAATAATTATTCTCTCCTGGCGAAATCAGTAATCAAATATAATGTTTCTCAGTCGAGCTGAAACATGAAAACTATGAGGAGAGAGAAAAAAAATTGCAAGAAATAAGTGCATATACAATAAAAAAGCCTTAATAATAATTATAAAGGCCAGCTGGTACTGTTTGCAAAATGTTTCTTTTTTCCTTTCTTTTCTTTATTTTTGTGTGTCTCTTCCTCCGCCTCGATTAGGCTCTCCTATACGCGGGTGGAAGCTATCGTGAAATTGTAAATTGAGATTGAATGAATAAAGTAGAAGTTGAAGTTGAAGTTGAAGTTGAAGTTTAAATAGCTGGTTGTGCCGACTAGCTCGCGGCATAACTCCTCCTAAGCGAATCTTTGATTGGGGAAAAATTCATCAGCTCTAATGCTAAATCAGTTCTATATTATCTTTTCACTACTCTCTCTACCCATGCAATATAATCCCCCGACTGAAAGACGTCCAGGACGAGACCAGGTCCAGCTTAGAGCAAACTGTCACGTGGGGGAAGGGGTGAAATTGATTATTGTTAGGCAAGAAGAATATTTTCTGCGTGTTAGGAATGTTTTTCTTTTAAGTTCCATGTGAGGTTTGACTAGCCCAAAATGACCTTCACCCGGCTTAGAGTGTACTAAACTCCGAAATAATCCTGTGTTCATTTTAGATTTTTTTTAAAACATAAAGACGTACTTAGTTTAAGACTATAGGAGCATTGTTACACCATTTCTAAGATACCTTGAATTTTTGAGTCCCTACTCGTAATGGAGTGAAAATCAGTCTCGCCACTGAGTTTAAGGGCAACTAGCACTGAAAGCGGCTTTCCATTTCTTTTTATTGCATATGGAAATGTTGTGTGAACAGTTAACAGTTACTTAGCTTTATTTGTAGAACGCCTAAATTGCGGAAATCTTCAAAAAGAGTATATCAAGTAGTCGGTGAATATTGCTGTCATATCAATTAGGCTTGAGTCATTAGAGTAACTGGGAGGCTTTTTATTTGATCATTCTGCACAACGACGGGTCGCAAATGGCAGTTCAATTAAAACTAATAAAAGCGATTGGCAAAAGCAAGTTAACTGAGTGTCTTAAAAATATTATAGCTAACGGGAAGGAAGGGAGTAAAAACATGTTTCCGACTGTCTTGTTAGACGAGGAAGGAGGCCTTCGAGTTGTGCCTCGCTTTCGTGACTTACATGACCCGTGACATAAATGACACCTTCGTGACAAATCCCCGGATGACAGGAAAACCCTCCTTTGCTGGTAGCTGGAGAAATACAATATTGGTCGGTCACATTCAGCATAAAACCATTTATATCTTTCAGAAATAAATTTCTTTTAACGGGAAAAAAAGGCTTATTTCCTCGGCGGTCAGCAGGAAGAAGAACTGGGGAGAATAACTATATCAATATTTCAAAAATGATTTAGCGTAAGGAAAAACCTTTTACTTATCGGGGACACCAGAATACAAAAGAAAAAAAAAGGATTGCTTGATGTTAAAGAATAAAAACACCGAAAAGGATTAAACGAGCGTTAGTAGTAAAAATGAAGAAAGGTGAGACAGAGATGGGATCTTAGGGTTTTGACCGGGATATGTGAATTTCACTTAAGTTATAAAATAAAGGCAGTGTAGGTGGCTGACTGGGTTAAACTTCTTTTGTTTGGGAAGAATTTGTTTTCTTGGCCTAATCTACTGTGATCGAAGAAGATTGCTATTTTTCGGTGTACATATAAGACTACTAACTCGATGTAAAATTTGTTTCACTCTTGGACTGTCAAATTCTTCTTCTCTAAGGAATCACTTTCCCTTAGAAGTCTCATGAATCTACTTTAAAGTTAACTGATTAATGTTTATTGTTTTATTTAAATTACTAATTTATTAAAGTGAGCTTCGCTTTTAGCCCTGGTTAAATCTATATATTAGAGTTTGTAATTACGGAAGTCTAATTCCTGAGACGTCTGCATATCTTAATTGTTTGAAACATCACTTAGTCCACAGCACGAGTCAGCCTCAAAGGATCTTAAAGCAAACAATGCGGAATACTGCGATGACGACCGTTGAATTCTCTCTTGAAAACACGGAATAAAACTTTGCAGACCTCTACGGAAACAAAGCTCCGAATCATTTCAAGCACGTCGGCAAGGGCTAGACCGGGCGTTTCCCTCACTGTCCCATAAAAGTTTCTACCAAGTTTTGAGCAAGGGAAAGGGTAGGTAGATAAAGGGGTTTTCAGTTTGTTTTCAGTGTTGTTTCACGCTGTTTAGCA